CTGGTTCTGGTCCTGGTTCTGGTCCTGTTCCTGGTCCTGGCTCTGGTCCTGTTCCTGGTCCTGGCTCTGGTTCTGGTTCTGGTCCTGTTCCTGGTCCTGGTTCTTGTTCTGGTTCTGGTCCTGGTCCCAGGTCCCTGGTCCTGGTCCTGGTCCTGGTTCTGGTCCTGGTCCGGGGGGGGGGGGGGGGGTCTCCTTCTGGCCTCTAAGGCCTTCTCCTTCATCCATTAAGGATCAGAACTGGATCCAGGTCTGGATTCTGGACTCTTGTGGAGTTGATCAATAACAGGATTCATATCTATGAATCAATAACCAATTCCTGTTTTTTTAGACCTTTGTCTTCAGTTTTTAGTGAATTAAACTGTTGAGAGTCTTTTATTTAGAATAAATCCGACTGAAATGTGAGAAATCAGATGGGAAACCGGTTTGTGTTGGATTTAAAGGGCCGGTTCAGCTTTTGTTGTTTCTCTTTGATCTCATGTTTCAGCTTTTCTTTCTTTCCTGTGAACTGGACTCCTTCATCTTGTTTGCCCTCTTTAAACATGACTCGGCAGATTTTCTGCTGTCAAACTGAGTTTCTGACAGCTCACGACTGTATGTGATGGTATCAGGAAACGCTGAGTCATGGGATCAGGAAACGCTGACTCATCGAATCAGGAAATGCTGACTCATGGTATCAGGAAACGCTGACTCATCAAATCAGGAAACGCTGACTCATAGGGATCAGGAAACACTGACTCATCAAATCAGGAAATGTCGACTCATGGGGATCAGGAAATGCTGACTCATGGGATCAGGAAACACTGACTCATCAAATCAGGAAATGTCGACTCATGGGGATCAGGAAACGCTGACTCATGGGATCAGGAAATGCTGAGTCATGGGATCAGGAAACGCTGACTCATCACTAATCTGATGCTAATTAGCTCATTGGACTAGTTTAAATATTCCATCCATCCATCCATTATCAATGCCGCTTATTCCCTCATGGGGTCGTGGGGGAACTGGAGCCTATCCCAGTGGTCAACGGGCGAGAGGCAGGGTACACCCTGGACAGTCCTCAGTCCATCACAGGGCCACACAGAGACACACAAGGACCAACAACCACACACACTCACATTCACTCCTAAGGGCAATTTCCCCAATCTCCAATCAGCCTAACATGCAGGTTTTTGGACTGTGGGAGGAAGCCGGAGAACCCGGAGAGAACCCACGCAGACACAGGGAGAACATGCAAACTCCACCCAGAAAGGTCCTGGTTCCCCCGGGACTCCAACCCAGAACCCTCTAGTCCTGGTTCCCCCGGGATTCGAACCCAGAACCCTCTTGCTGGGAGGCGACAGTGCTAACCACCACACCACCGTGCCGCCCTTAGTTTAAATATTAATTTATATATTT